GTGCGATGATAGTTACCATTATGAGTATTTAAATCCTTTTCAAGAGAAAAGTTTTTAATAATTGACTTTGAGTATCAGTTTCTTCATTTAAGAGATTAGACTTTACATCTAAGTACCCTTCCTGTCCTAACGTTTTATAAATCTAATATTTAAAACCCATAGAGTATGACAACGTGTAAGAAAACTCAAAACTATAAAAAAACAAACAAACAGGTTTACTGGTCAGAAAAAGACTGGAGGACTCCAAGACTATGGTGTCGGATGGAACTCACCCACCTGGCCCACTTTTCAGCGGAGCGTTAGACCAAGTATATGTGGTGACAACAACACTAGTAAAGGTACGCTCCTCATGGAATGGGCAACCATTCAATATCGAAAGGGCAACATTTACCTAAGGACAACGTTCAGAAGGGTTGGGAAGGAGGCTGGAATGGAAGTAAGACTCACAGCGAGGAAGTGGGATAACCGCTGTTATGTGGAGGGGCTTGCAGTCATTGAGTGTATGTTGACTGTAAAACTGATAATCTGCTTTGTAAACCTTCACTCAATTCACAGTAAAAAGTTTCAAAAATAAATAAATAGATAGACCTATAGTGCTGAGGGTTAGTGCACTGGACTGCAGTCAGTTTGAACTGCAGGGTCGGTGTTTTAAGCTCACCAGCTGCTCCTCAGAAACCCTATGCAGGGTCACTATGGGTCGGAACTGACTCGATGGCATTAACAACAACAGCAACATTAGAGCTCTTCAAGGAGCTCTGTTAGTGTTGTTGTTGTTGTGAAGTGCCGTCGAGTCAGTTCTGACCCATAGTGACCCTGTATAGGGTTTCCGAGGAGCAGCTGGTGAGCTTCAACCGCCAACCTTGAATCTCAAACGGCTTTGCAGTCTGGCTCATTAACCCACAGCGCCACACCAGGACTCCTCTATTAGTGTAGTGGACTACAAATTGGGCTGCTAACTGCAAGGTCAGCAGTTTGAATCTACCAGCCACCCCATGGAAGAAAAATGAAGCTCTGTGCTCCTTTTAAGGATTTACAACTCAGAAGCCTTATACAGGCTTGCTATGAGTCGCAACCAAATCCATACATAGCCAATACCACCACCTTTGGCTTCTTCAAGGATCCCTGGTAGTATAGTGGGTTTTGCTTTGGGCTGCTAACTGCAAGGTTAGCCGTTTGAATCCACCAGTAATTCTGCAGGAGAAAGATGAGGCTTTCTCCTCTTATAAAGATGTACAACCTAGGAAACCCTAGACAGGTCATTATGACCCACAGCTGTACCTGCACAGAAGTGCAGCAGCACAGGGCAATTCTACTCCACCACTTATACAACAGCGCCCTCTGATGGTGTAACATTTCCTAAAATTGATGTCGTTGGCATTTCTGAGGCACTTCATTTCCTAATTTGGGAGTTTAAACTATAATGTGGTAATTGTAGTTGCACAGAGCTTCCAGAAGCCATTACAAGTTCTCTGTCATGTGGTGCTTTCCTGGAGCGGTTTAGTCAGCAGATGATGAATCAGGGCTTTCCTCTGACAAAATCCTTAAATGATCTTTGACAATCCATATTTTTTGATATGCTGGATATTCAGCAGTGTAGTGCTTAGTGAATTGTTGTTAGTTGCTGTCACATTGGTCCCTGACTTACGGTGATCCCATGCACATCAGGGTTGGACCGTTGTGAGCCGTAGGGTTTCATTGCCTGATGTTTGGAAGTAGATCGGAGCCTTTCTTGTTTTGTTTGTCTGGAAGCTCTGCTGAAACCTCTTCAGCATCTTAGCCATCCACAAGCCTCTGACTTCATTTTGTTGATTTTGGAAAAGGATTCTCTAGTATCCCTTACCAAAGGTTGAAGTTTGTGGTTAGCCCTATCTGCTGTCTGTAACATGTTATAGTGAAAAGAGCAGAGAGAAGAGGGACTTTGTGGGAGCACCACTGGGTAGGGGTTAAGTTGCTTTCTAATTTTAAATATCTTAAGACTGTTGTAAAGAAAGTGACTGGCAGGATGATGAGGTGATCAGTGTAAAACACTAGCCCAGTGCCAAGCACACGGTAGGTGCTCTGTGTGACCCCCTACCCTGCCATGACATTAAAAAAATAATAATGCATCTAACAGATAAAAATGTTTTTACAGGATTTTCTGCATATGAACTTTATTCTTGAGCAGTTTTAAAGTCTAATTATATTTATTATTTTTTAACAAAGATCAGTTTTACATTCAGCAAAGCATACACTTTGTTTCATCTCAATGATTACAATCCCATCCAAGACAACAGCTCCCTTCATGTGGCTCCTATTTCCCTTCTACTCTCCTTTCGATCCCTTCTTAACTTTGTCCTTAGGTAAATGTTGCTTTTTTGACCTTGAATTCTATGGTGAGCATACCATACCTGTGTTGATGTCCTCAATATGTATCAATTTACTGCTTGGCTGAAAACAGGGCCATAAGGGTGAGTTCTAAAGTCTAGTTATTAGTTCTTTGTTCCTCTACAGAGTC